GATGTCATCTTCGCGCAAACTTTGCTACGGATCGGCTTTGAGATAGAGAGACGGAGAGTGACTAATTTGGCCCAGCATTTGATCTCGAGAACTCCAATGTGTGCGTCCCACTCGCACCCACCGCCCGCCGTCGCCGCCGCCGGGAAGCTCTTTGCAAAATTTCGCTTTGATCGCAAAGTTAAATTATATGGGAATTGAGCATTAAATGGATACACATGTGAAGCGAGGACGCGAGCCAAGCGCGATGCTGGTCCGCGCTGCGAGCCGGGCCGGGTGACGAGTTGACGACCACGGCCGCTCGGACGGGCCGCGACGCGACCCATCCGAAATAAAACACCCACCGTTTGACGATTACGGCGACTTACATAAATAATGAGCGAGGAGTCACTTTCAAAGTTATACATTTGTGAGAGCGGCGCTTGTATTTAACTCCGCCTAATTTGCCGCGAGTACGCAGTACCTTTGAGAGCTCCGTTTTTACTAGTTTACGAAACAGATATTTGCGCCCGCCTTTCCTTTGATACGGCACTTTGTAGAGCATTTTACACGAGTTTCTTTTGAGGCCATTCAGACGGTGAGTAACGAAAGGCTGTCTTTGATAAACACGTGCGAGGACTCTTCAGTACTTATTAGGGGTGCTCTCTTTGAAAGTGCTTCTTGTGAAATCTATTTGAAACGTTCACAATATCAAAGCGGGCCCGATGAAAGCTGCGCTAATTAAACTGTCACTAATAAAATTATGCGAAAAATTGAATCTACGAGTGTTTTGTTCACGATAAAAGGCCCATGTAATTTTAATATTTCATTAGTTTTAAGAACACGTCTTCACTGAAGCTGAGTTATGAGTAGAAATTGGTATACAATAGACAGCTGGTAAGTACATGGTTCGAGCGTAGTCTAGTGTTTTAGCGTAAACTTGTTAGAGGAGAAGACATAATCGCATATCAATTCAGCGAAGCCTGGATAGTGTTGTGAGAGGGAGAGCTATTAGTAGGTTATTAATGTTGGGTTACACACTCGTGTAAGTCAAAGACAAGTCCGCAAAGTGGCGCCTTTGTGCGCGGCGTTGGCGTCGGCAAGCGGTGCGCGCCGGGAAACGCTTCGTGTTTTAAGTCGTTCCCTGCGACAACTCTTTGTGTAGCGACGCCTTTACAATACACCGCTCCAACACAACGTGCAACACACAGTTTACAAACATCGCCATTACAAGGAATTTCAGAAAAATAAAGAATAATATTATTTACTTGCTAAAACAACAGATATATTTGAGGTATTAAAAAAATAAGATCCCAATGCAAAAATAACAGGCGTATGACACTGAATTTCCTTACATCAATGACCCGATTTACATCAAAGACGTCCAATACACTTTGATGTTTAAATCGAGAAATGTCTTTAACTAGTGCCCTTGTCATGTTAATAGCATGGGTGGTGCTTTAGTAACAGGCAACTTTGTGTGACCTCTTAACGATACAACTTGGCACAAAGGACTGGGTTGCACCCGGGCGTCGTCAGTTACAACTGATGAAAAACAAAGCAAATAATCAACCCGTTATAACATTGAACAACCTTAATTATTAGTATTAATAATTTAAATCCTCATCACTAATGAGGTTTATGCTAAAAACGAAAACGAAACTGATAACTCTGAACCCTTTGACACTAAACAAAGTTAAGGAGTGGTAGAGACAAGTTTAAATACATTATACGTTTCAAATTGCCTTTAAGCCATTACACGATTATTAAGTTGGCTAACACAAAGGTCGACGGCAATATTTATTAGACATGTAAGCGCTAGATATTAAAGGCTCCGTAAATATCAAAGGAATAGTACAAAGGAAAAAATATAATCAAATCTCGAAATATAAGCGCTTCTAAGAAACATTCGAAATCAAAGAGACACCTAATTTATAAATTGCAATTACACCGGCAGTCGCCAGAGTTCGGCGGGCACAGAAAAAATTTAGAGAGAACAGATTACGAACACTAAATTTAATTACAAAGCGAACTCGAATATTACAAATTGGAGAGGATAAACGCGACAAAGTAAAAGAGAAAACACACCCAAAAGGAAACTCGTAGCATTGATATAAACGAAATTTAAATTAAGTACAAAGGGAAAGAAGATGAAAAAAATCCTTTCATTGAAACTCTCACCCCCGGAGTCAGAGGGCCGGGCGGCTACATCAAAGACACCTACCTCCCGTCTCTAGCCTTATCTGTGCGAAACCGAGTTTGGAAATTAGCACACAGCGATCCTTTTTCTGAGTCTCGTCTGTGGCTCAAAGACGCCGCGTGCGCACCCTTTCACCAGCTTTTAGCATTACGCTTTCATGAAGGGTTTTTTGTATAATTTGTCTTTGGACAGGCGGTAACGCGATAATGTAGCTAATGACAATATTTTATTCAGATCTCCGGCGCTGAATCAGAATTATTTGCCATCTCGGAGTACTGGACAGTTTGTGTTTTAACATCTTAATGTTGGGCGCGATTTCGTTCAACTTTTAGATAAAAGCGATCAAAGCAGTTTGGAAGAGTGAACTATTTTATTACTGCGGCGCTTTTTCGTATTTGTAATTGTCTCGGGCGTGGGTACAGTGGTTAAGGTTATTACTTTCTCACGGATTTTGTTTACATTACGTCTTTTAATTTTCTATCTGGCGTTTATGTTCGGTATCTGATTAAACGTTTGTCACTTGTTTGTCTTGCTACTCTTGCTTGTCTTGTCCGTCGATGAGTGAGTATGGTTGTGGTGAGTGATCCTCATTCCTTCTTAGTTTTAGAGTAAGACAGTTACAGGCTGATTATGATGGAACTTTAACTGGACCCAGGTACCGCTTAACCCTCAGAGTGCCTCGTCAATCACCGTTGTCTGACGCTTGTGCACGTTTGACTTTCGATATTATATAAACTTGGCAGTTAAAGTGTTACAAGACTGTGACTTATAACCGACGGACGAGTAGCAGAGCAACTCTCTTTTTCTGTAACCTAACTAGGATCAACTGCCACCCATTGAGCAAGCGTGGTGATTAATGCTCAAACCTTCTCCGTGCGAGAAGAGGCCTTTGGTCAACAGTGGCCACTTAAAGGATGCTTTTTGCTGATGATGACGATAACTAGGATCATCGTCTGCAAAGGGCATGAGGATTTCGATATTTTATTTCACACAATCGTTCATTTACTGCTAAACATTAGATTATCTTTTGTTAATAGGTGGGCGTTTAGTCATCTCATCTGATGCTGATGCTGATGCCTCAGCGTGACTGCCCATAAAATAAACAACCTTTTGCCTCGAACCTGAAGGTAACCATAAAATAACGTAAACGTACACTATTATACCGAATATAAGGGTTCACATATTTGAAGACGTTTACAATAATTTAAATTTTATGGAAGCAACTAACAAAATTATTCCGATTACAGAAAAGATAAAGATTTCTTACAGCGCGCGCTCTTGAGACGCGTTGATGTCTTTTCTTTAGGAACGTGCGCTGGCGAAGTTTGTTTGTCAATGTTTAAACTTAACTTAATTTTATCTTAACAGTCATGTGTATACGTGTGAATATAAACGTGTGAACACTAAGTATATCCAAATGTCGCGTAGTAAAGTAATATTAATAAATAACTGTTATAATTGTTTTACTTCTGAACAATGAACAAGCTTAAAAGCACTAACAACGTTCTCAATTACTCTCCAACTATAAAACGTTTAAGCAACAATGAAACTGTTACAGAAACTTTAATAGGTCCAAACAATACAACTAAATGAACAAAACATCAAAAGTACCACTACAGCAAGGGCCACTACAATAAATCCATACAATATGAAGTAACAAAACAATATTGTCGGTACACAGGCGGCCGACCGTATGAAACAATAGGCGCATTCAAATAAATATTTAAAATAACGACTACGTTCTGACAAAAACTTGCCCACCACCGACTGAAGAGGGATGCCGACACACACTCGATGGTGACCCTTTGTTAGTTCATGAATTTATATTTTATTAGTTCAGAAAAGTTCAAATTACTACCTTGTCAAAGTTTTAAATCCAATTAATTTATAGTTAAATCCAATTGTTAAGCGATATACACAGACACTGATTACACATACAACTTTATAAACACTGAATTTAAAATAGTTTTTCTTAACCACACACAATATGACACAAGAATCTAAAGTTAATACAGTTTATAAGTAACTACGCGATCGTATCTCGGAAAATTTGCGAAAAGCGACACAACGCTGCGTCACCCACGGCTGCCGACGAGCAACTGTCAGAATTTAGCACACAACAATGCGCGCGCAGCACGTGGCTTTAAAAGTGGGCGGAGCCATCCCAATTCAAGCCCTGTGATTGGACGAGCGAGTCCTTTGATCAGCCGCCGGCAACTAACTACATCGCTCTGCGCCTTAATCTCGGTAGTAACGTCCTTTTAAAACAGGTAATTTTATTACAAAAATGTGGATACTTTTTATGGTCAGTCGAGCAAGCGTTGTGGGTTGGCAAAGGACCCCTCGGGCCCCAGCCAGATGATATTTTCCACATGCATGGCACCGCCAGCGCTGAATGCAATCCCAATAATACATTACCGGATCAGTTACTGACTGTCAAAGGATGACAAGTTTATCCAGGGTAACGAGGCTACAAAGTTCTGCGAATTCTAACATTTGTGAATTCCCTTTCTATTCACAGATGTAAGAATTCCACAAATAAATACAGTGTATATACATAATGATTTAATTGCCATAAAAATAGCAACAAACACGTCATATCTTTTAAAATATGTCAGTGTTAAGAGTGAAAGGTATCCTACAGAAAGATTGAAGATATTTGCGTTTTGAAGTAATTTAATTCTTTTAGTAACAAAGTTCGTACGTGGGATGTTTGCTCTTAAGAAATTATTTCTTTGTGGAAAACATGGGAGTAGCTCGATGCGAGTTGTGGACATTACGTTGGGCATAATTATACGGGTTAAAAAACAAATGAATATAAGACTCATCTAAGGCTGGCTGTAATTAAGTTCGCGTAAACACATAAGTTTATGAAGTGCCTGAGGACGGCTGCTGTATGTTGTCGTGTAGCACTTCCTAGTTCCGTGGAACGATAGTTTGCCGATGCGCTGTGATTGCTGATATTAATAAAGCGCGCTCGCGTGTGTGTGTGCTGCCTAGCCGCGCTGCACCCGCGGCGCCGGTTCGTCTCGCCCTGCATTATTACTCAGCTCCCGACACACTCGCCCACACCCGCACACTAACGCACACAAGCACACGTTCGCCCGCGCCCCACATATAATGTCAAAGGGTGAGCGCGCCGCCTCACAAAGCGTAAGTGCAACCACTAAAAGCCAATCCTAAGTTTTATTGATACACATTGTATTGCGACAAAGTCTCCGTCGGCCGGGGCCGCCTCACCCCACGCGCCGCACAAAGACAATATCGCGACGTCAAAGGAGCGGCGTCCCGCGGCCGGGAGGCAGCCGCCCCGCCTCCCGCCGCCGCCTAAAGGAAATGAAAAATTAAATTGTCAACACATTTAATATCTGCGAAAACGTGCACGGCATTGCCTTTGAACGCGCCTCCTTTGCGGAACCTCAGCGGCTCCAGCTTTAAGTATTAAAATTTCAGTCGTAAAATTGAAATTCTGTTTAAGTTTAATTAGACGTCGCTGGCGAAGTTCGAAGTCGCATTAGATCAGTAGCGCTAATAAGGCCCGCGGTGAGCACACGTCACAGGTGCGAGCGCGCGGTGGCGAGGGAGGGAGAGGAACGGCGCGGCAGGGAGGGCGCACCCCCTCGCGTTTGATCGGCGCCGCCGCTTTGACAATTATTAAAATTTGCCTCGTACCTCTCGGGCCTCATCTTTTTCCGTCGCCTCGATTACGCCACGGGTTTGTCTCATTAGGGCTTTTGTATGGTATCGCGGGCTCCCCTTTGATGTGAGTGCGGAGGCGCGGGGCGGCCGCGGTCCACCTGCACTTTTATTGTTCCCGCCCGGCCTCGAATTTGCACGCTCCACTTTGACTTGTCTCTTTGCGATTAAACCGCGCGCCGCTCTTTGACCTCTGAACACTGGAACGATAACATAACAGCTGTTGGGCTGCACTGCGCACTACTGGCTCTATGTGTAGCGTTAGTGATCTATACCAAAATATGAAAAATATAATTAAATTAAAAATTATAATTTTTTCTTTCAGGTCAGTCATAAAGTCATTAATGTATCGGCAAAGCGGTACAGCGAGAGCGTGCAGTATCGGCGGCTGTTTGTTAGGGCGGGTCGGGACTGCGTCGCTTGTGAACACTCGACACCCCTTTATTACTTCTGTTCTCTTTGTACGGGAGCTATCATCATAAAGCATATGGACCGAATTAAAGCTCTATACATTATTTTATACTTTTTAACGCTAAATGTACCGAGGTGTTTCATTATTATCTTTTTAACATTTCCAATAAAATTAATTAAAAGAATTGCAAAATATAATTCAACATTCAATTCACACCTAACACTAAAAATTCAACCTCATTTCATTCATCATTAACTGCCAATTTCCATAAACTATCTTAATCCAAAATCTGTCGGTATAGATCGATTATTGACAGTGTACGGAGTTTCTGTCAAAAATCGATCTTAATCCACTTAATTTGGATTACGATATGTTATAGAAATTGGCAGTAAATCAGTCATTTCAATGGATCGCTGCAAATTGGCAATGTTAATTCTTTCTTATTGCATGCTTTATAATTGAATTACAAAACTGCATGTTGGATACTTTAAATAAAGTTTAACACCGTGTTGGGCGCCAAGTTCGGTGTTACTTAAAAATCTGCAAGTCTTATTATTAAAAATTTAAAACATCTGAAAATTGAAACTGGCACATAATTTCTAAGAACACAAAATAATTATGTGCTTCATCTAATCACAGGACATCGTTATTGGCGCCCAGCATGGGACACAACTTTTGAAATACATTTAAAATAAAAGTTTGACACAAGCACTAATTTAAGGAAAAATATAGATATTTAGCGCTAATGCATAACCCGTGCTAAATGTTACAATGTGTTTGAAGCTTCAATTGGCGTCAGTGGTTGGAGGCACGAGTCAAAGTTAACGCGAGGGGCGCGAGGAGACAAAGCTTTGTTGTGACGAACACGAGCTCGCAGCCTTTCATCTTGCGCTGGCCGCGTCCTTCAACCGCCGAACTGACTACATAGGGTTGTCACCAGCTGGACTTTACTGGCTATTTCGTAATAATGGTATTATTAGTTTATGTGACAATTATAATTAATTTATGTATTTATTTTGTGTCAATTTTGCTGTAATCATATAGATTATAGGTATATTTTTATTAAAAAATAAAAATGTTGATACAATGAAACATTTCTGCTGATATATTGGTGCTGAGCATACAGAGATATTAAATACCTAAGAAAATTTTAATACTTTTAAATAACATACATTATTAAGAAACAAATTTAATTCCCAATTCCCAAAGTCCCCTAACGCAATTTTGTAACGCCTCTGGTGTTCCAGGTGTCCACGGGCGACAACGATTGCTTACCATCAGGTGATCCGTCTTCTCGTTTACCGGCTTGTCCCTTAAAAGAAGAGTGATAAACTTTTAATTGATCTGTTTGTAGAAAAGAAATCTGATTGTAATATAACGTTGTGCTTGTAGAATACTTATGTTTTCCTAGTTCTACACTGAAATATTTACCAATTAACGCAGATATGAATGCTTGTATGAAAAATATTATATTAGAAATTAATCTGGCAAATTAAATAATATTTTTCATGTCAGCCCTGTTGCTACTGCATTCCGTTTGATGTTAAAAGTATCCTTTATAAGAGACGTTTTTCTTATTATCAACTTATCCGTAAATGTAATATAAAATAAATATTCTTTGCCTTAGTGTTATACATTCGTAAGACGTCTTAATGGGACTGTACAGTACTTAATTATGAGAATTAAAAGTTACATCATGATATCTTACACAAATATTATTTTTATACAGAACCTTTATCAACTTGTAACATAAATACTCAAAAAGATGTCAATACAAGAATTTCATTTAATGTTCACCGCAGTGATCAATGATGCTTTTGCAATTTTTCTCATGTTGTATCATCATTAAAACGTTTCCGTATTATGCTGGACATAGGCTTCTCTAATAGTAGGATGCATTATTGCATCCAGCCAATACCAGCCGCCATGTGGATATCGTCCCTCCACCTCCAGATGGAGGGCATGTTACGTACGTTTACGTCCCTCTCAATCTCCCATCACAGTATGCTATTAACATGCACCCACTATTAAGACGTACATACATACATAAAACCATATTGTGATTGTATAACAGCAATGAAATAAGAATAAGAAATTGCTACATTGGTTCCCCGCAATATTTCCTTGAGTTGACGGCGGGCTCGAGCCTCTAGATTGAAATAGTAATTTGGGCGGGCTGCACTGCGCTCAGCTAAGTCAATTCAGCAAGGAATGCGATCGCATCGATGAGATCCACGTTGGCTTTGGATATGCTTTTTATAAGGACTTGAATATTACAAGAAATACTTGTGTAGTTCTTGACAATATTAAGATTCTTAATAGTATTGTCTTAGACAAACATGTAAAAAGTGTTAATAAGAAGAAACCACATTAACGGGTTTATGAGAAACCGCTCCTAAAATATATTTTATGATTGAAAAATAAAAAAATATAATGAATAAGAAAAACATTTGACTAATCATTTAGTTCTAGGGCCAGGAAGGTAAAAAGGTAAATAAATAACTGAATGGTAAATTCAACTATTACAACTCTAAAAGCGAGCCAATTGAAAAGCATTCACCATAAATACAGTTCCACAATTCTTTAATCCCGTCAGTACATTTTTCTATCCATCAGGCAGATGTTGGGGGATTGAATAGGCAATGCTCAATGTGATAAATTCGGTTTGTGGCTCGGCTTGCAGGCGAGACGGCGCGGCTCGCTCGCCTACAATCTACATAATGCAGCAAGCGGGCCGGTAGACATCCACGCCTAAATTGCATTGTTGTGTTCATCTCGTGATTTCAAGTGCTTCAAGATATCTCGCTTCGTATTTTTTGGTAAGACGTCTACAACTCTACAAGACATTTTACTTTTCGCTGGATTTTTATGCCACGATGTCATTAGGTTACATAATTTCAATCAGTTCTGCAAATTGTGCAGCTGTATTGAAAAAAAAAAGCACTATACCAATGTAATATTTATTTTCAATCATTTTCTATTTAAGTTTGTGCGGTAAACTGTAAATAAATGTCCTTGCACCAATAGACTAAAATTAATTTACCGAAAATAATTGCGTTTCCATAATCACCATATTTCGATTACACAAGGAGCTTGTCAAAGGCCTTATTATGTTTGTACAGTGACACTTCTCCAGTGGATATTATCAAAGTTATTGAAGACCGGCTCGAGTGTTGAACTGGCAGGTATGATGAGCTGAAACTAATCCAACTTTGTCTTACGGCAGGTGGGCGTAATCAACAGGGGGATACAGAACCTTCGATCATACATTTACAACTAGTTAAAAACAGAAGGGCTACCGGTTTCAGATGATTTGATACGTCACATAATGGGCAATTATGGTGTGTCCTAGAAAACTAATTTCGTTTTGGTATGGATTTCATGCAAAAATGAGTTGAACAAATAAAATTGTGTGTTAAATTAATTCGTTAAACTCGCGGTTCAGTAGAACCGATAGTTTCCGTTAAAACATTTTTCCTTTATGAAATTATAAGAACGGGACTTGAAAAGAAATAGATCAAAGAAAACAAGTATTCATTATGTTTGTAACGTATTCAGTTGCTACAAAGCCCTGTGTGCTGCTGCCCTGTCATTTTCTTGTGACAGACAGTTGTTTGAACATGGATTATTTAAAAATGGGTTTGGGGCCACCAGCGGCTCCGTCTCGCCGGCGATCCCACTTAGATGTCCGCCTACTGGTACATCGACCATTAGACATATATGACCAGACCAGAACAATAACTTTAAATCGGATTAATATGACAGCAGAGATATGCATCGAAGCATAACTAATAATAATTAAATTAATACTTCAAGTGATAATTCTTAGACATTAAAAAGCATGCAAAGAGGAAGCCGACACCATTTCCTCATACCACTTCCATTCCATAGACGGGGCGAGTCAAAAGGCTCACTTAACCTTAGCGAAACTCAATAACTTTCACTTTAAATAATAAATTCCCCTTTGAAGCACGCCGACGTTGAACAACTGATTCAGGGTTGCCATAATTTTGTGAGCTTAATTGGATTATAATCATAAACGTGTAATTAATAAGATATTTTGACGGTAATTTTCACATGTAGACATGATTCGCAGAATTAGAGTGGATAAAAACTCACTTGTAGGTTGTTTGTTATAATTAACACTAATGTAGGACGGATTTTAATATGTTATTGATGTCAACACGACTGATGTTAAGTCAAATTAAGCAAGTTTTCATTCATACTCTGAAATAAAGAAGTTTTATATTTTTGGGCCAAATATCCTAAACAATAAAAGATTTATCAAATCTCATTCAAGAATAGAACAACAACCCTAAGCGACAATATCGGTGTTACTAGAGTAGTGGAATCCTTTTAATCCAGACAATTGGTTTGAAATAAAGACAAAGCGTAATCCAGCCTTTATTAATCCTTAGTTTTTGTTTTGCACTAACGTAGGAATGTCTTTGTGAGATAATTATTAGAATGTGTCTCATTAAATCATGTTTTATTCACATACAACTTTGGTAGTGTGCTCGGAATAAAATGTTGCATTTTATCCGTGTGTGGGACCAAAGACAAAATATGTTTCGACGTACAAAGTTTTTAAGTCGTCAAAGACAACTCATTGGGCACTCTACACACCAAACGGCGGAGGCATCTATAAAAAATTCAGCAGGTCCTTACATAAAGGAGTGAACATTCTCATTTATATCTCCCTTTGAACTTCAGGCTTTTTCTTTTAAGGTAAGTACATGTACACTTTGTTTGGGCACGAAACTTTTAGCGACTTGGCAGAAAATAATTCAAGATGAAATAAGCTTAGGATGACGAAGAAGACGGATCGTAGAGCTAAAAAAGAATTGCAAAAACACGTAGGTACCTGGATGAAGTTTTTGTGTGGTTTTCCAAAACAGTAGAAATCCATACCAATGTTTTACGAATTTGAATTTATCATGAATTTCTCGTTCGAAAGCTCGAAGTCACGTTTAAGCAATAGTGTAAGGTACATGTAAATAGGTTCAATTAGCAATAAGTGAACTTTCCACCACCCACGTCAACCGCTTCGGGGGAGTGACATTATGTTTATCAGTTCTAATTTAAAAATTTTCCTATGTCTTCAAACTGCCAAGACATATACAAGGATCTTAAGAAGATGGTGTCGGTGTGCGTGTCGTGTCGTGTCGTCGAGTAGAGAGCGGATCGTGTTGCGACTTTGTAATTAAATCATTCCTTCGTATTAAATCGGCCTCCTTTGATACCTATCGCCTGTATTGAGCCGTCGAGTGCCCTCCACCCGTGACTCCCCGACCTCGGCTTTCATCATTTTTTTATTAAAATCTCCTTATAGGAAGGGGTTGAGGGAGGGAGGATTCCTTTTAAAATCCCATTCCGAAAGCTCAAGTTTGACAAACAATTTAAAAATCGACAACATTGAGTGTAATTTCACACGGCATACGATTTGACAAGAGTTTTAGGGGCATAAACATATTGTATGAGTTTATTTGTTTTCCGTCACACAATAAAATGCTGCTAACAAAGAGCTCTTTAAAAATGTTATGTTCAAATTAATAAAGCATTAGTTGTAATGCTTTATTAATTTGAACTTGTAATCTGTTGAGATTAAACGTTATTTGCGAAAGTTGTTGCTTTTAGTTTTATTTGCATGTACTTAGTTATATAAAAAAATATACTTTCTAGGTTTTTTTGAAGGGGTTTTTCTTAATTTACACTTCATATGAAATTATGGTGGATATTGGAACACATACATGAACACAACTACAAAACTTAACTTTTAAACGGTTTTATTTACCTTGACCTGTTTGTTTGTTTAGGTCAAATTTAGAAATTGGAATTTCTTCCTTTTTCTTACGACAGATCGATCTGATTTTTGGTACACACCCTTAATCTCGATGACCTTGCAACATAACATACATAACATCACGCCTTTTATCCCCGAAGGGATAGGCAGAGGTGTACATTATGCCACTGTACAATGTAACACCCACTTTTCACTATTTATGTTATGAGTCCCATGTAATAGAGGGTGAGCCTATTGCCATATACCGGGCACATATCCAGACTCCGTGCTACTACTGAGATTTTTAAAAACCCAGTAATTTGTGGCGAGCTTTGAGCGACGACGCGTACACTCAACCCTTTATATGTATTACCAGATCCTTATCTAAATCTTTATAATGTTATTGTTTCGTATACTTATAACAAACACACTTAACAAGCTCACACAAAACGTAAAATGTCCACAAGTGCTGTTACACACATATGCTCTTAGAATTCGGCACTATCTGTACAAATAAAGATGGCGTACATTTTAATAGCAATTACGTCACTGATACAACAGAATAATTTCTTAGAATCATGAAGTCATGTCTCGCTATTATCCCAACAAACCGAACCCGAAGGCAGTTAATATTCACTTCTAGGAATTTATAACCTTGAAGACTGAATTGTCTTGATTTGCCACCTGACTTGCGGTGGATATATCATTTATTTTAACTGCTCGTATCGTAATTTAGCAGTTTGTCAATGATGACAAACTGGGTCTAGCTGATGTTGATGCTACATAGTTAACGCGAAAATCCAACTGTATCCAGTTTCTTCACTGACTCCTTAGCTATAACTTTGAACAAATTACTCCATAAAAACTTAATTAAATTCATAAAACAATTTTTCTCAAACTCTGACGAAGACACGTGATTACGAACAAACTTTCACCTAGCCAAATACAGTTCAAATCATCTCCCGAAGTTAAATTGTCGATTAAGTAGTTATTAATGACAACCTGTACGACATTAATCAGCATTTAACAGTGGCAGTTGGTCATGTCATTGTATCGAGACGGCATGTAGACCGTGTAGTCTCAGTTCTGTGAGTGCGGCGACTCCTCGGCTCGCCTAACTCAAATATCATAAGTCTCGTCTGAGCGGTCGCTTTGCCCCGGCCGCCCCCGCTCTGCAAACAT